CTCCCACGGCAGGGTCCCCGCGGGCTCCCACACCTCCGTTCGAGCCCCGCAGCCCCCTCCCCAAGCTCCCGCACGTCGGAGGAGAAGCCAGCGCCCCGGCCAAGGAGGGACTCGGACAGCCCAGCCTCCTGCCTGCTGCCCTGCGAGGACCCGGTGGCACCGTCCCAGAGGCGCTCCCGCGGGGCTGCGACCCACTGGACCGAACGCCGCACCCTTCTCACTTCTGTCCTCCCGCATCACGTCCGAGGATTCCGCTAGTCAGGATGTCCCGAGAGGCAGGGCTTCCTGCAACATGCAGGGCTGCGGGCCTAGGTGGTTGCCAGGGCCTGGACCCCCAGAACAGCTTTGACAGTCTTCTGCAGCCCCTCACCTGGCCACCGCCACATCCCAGCACCCTTTGCAGGGACCCAGCTGCGCCTCAGACAAGACTTGGCCGGGCCTGACTCCTCTCCATCCTGGCACTGCGCCGTACATTTCTGTACAAAGAAATGGGGGTTCTCCCCGGGCCTCCATTCTCCTTGGAGAGACAAAGGCATAATAAAATAAACTGTTACACAATGTGATGGCGATTAATACCCTAGGAAGAAACGTCATTGGTGCTGGGGACAAAGAGCATGTGACCGGGTGGGAAATTCCATGAGGAGGTCAGGAGGGGGCTCCCTGGGGAGCAAGGGATGGAGGGGCTTGGCAATGCGACATAGCAGTGCAAAGGCCCTGGGGCAGCAGGTGGCCAGTCTGGATGGGGGAGGGGAGGAAAGAGGCGGAGTCTGAACCCTAGATAGTGGCCTGTGATTAGAAGGCTTTTGAGCAAGGGTGTGACAAAACCTGACTCAGAAAATAGCACTCTGGCCACTGTCGGGGAGGAGACAGGGGTGTAGGTAGGGGTGCAGAGGTGGGAGCTGGGAAGCAGAGGGGAGGTACAGACTTCAGACATTCTGACCTTCCAGACACACTGAGCACCTGTCTCGAGAGAGCTCTGCTCACTGAGTATGGAACCCGCCCCAGCAGAACACCGAGAGGAATTATGAAGGAGAAATCAACCGTAGTCCTCAGTAAATTCTGCAATATTACAGATTTCTTTGTACATTTATAAAAGTACAAAGAAAGGCTTTTGCTCTTGCTGGAGATATTAACGTGATTGAATATGCTTCCTTATTTACTAAAATCTTGATGTAACACTGTAAAACATCCATTTGGAGGCCTGGCTCTCCAGGCAGTTTATTTCAATTCTGGATTTTAGTGGCTGTCACAAAAATATGGGAACTGAATAGAAGAAGCGCGTCCTTAGCAGAGCTTACTAAATCATCACGCTCCTGGACAAATCCTGCCCGCCAATTATGCAAGGGCTTTGCTAAAAGACAGCCAGTATGCCTGTCTTCCTGTTGTCAATCAGCTCACCTTGCAAACTAAAGGGAGGTGCCGCCTGTTTATGTTTCATAAATTATGTTTTCAAAACCCGAGGATCTCTGTTGTGAGTTCTAAAAAGATTATTCTGGAATGAGAGCGATAATGGTTGCACAACTTTGTAAAATCTAAAACCACCGAATTCTGCACTTTAAAAAGATGAAGGTTAAGGTATGCAAATTAGATCTAAATTTCTAAAAACTGGATTAGACAAAGAGCAAAGCACTGGGACCAGCAGTTGGTGTAACGACTACGTCGCGGGACTACAAACTATGTAGTCGACCACCGTTCGAGTCCCGGACCCAAGTGGCTTAAACTCACTTCAGGCACGTGTGCATGTGTGTCCAAGATCCGAGAAGAGAATGGAGGAGAAGGGATTGCGGCATGGCCATCCCCCCAGGGGGTGATTTCTTGCTTTCTGTCTCTCTGTCTCTCTCTGTCTTTCTGGTGAGCGCACATGCTCCATGGCAAAAGCCTCTCCAAAAACAAAAGAAAGAAAAGAAAAAAGAGCAAAGCACCGTGAGACAGTGCCACATGGGGACGTTCTCTCTATGCCAGCCACTCTTGTGCCCATGGTCTGGGGCTGGCCAAAGCTGGGCATGGATCATGGTGTGCAGACCCTACCAGGGGTGCTGCTTCTCTCATAAGAAAAAATAAGCTTAAAAAGAAACCTATTAGGGGCTGGCCCTATGGCCTGGCGATTGAGGGAGCCATGTCTTACATGGGTACTCTGCAGCTGGAGTCCCAGTCCAGGCAGGTTGGAGAACACGGCCTGTGTGCCCAAAGATCCCAACAGGAGGGGGAAACGGAGGAGAGGGGATTGCGGCGTGGCCACGCAGAGGCCATCCCCCTCTCCCTCCCCACCTCTCTCTGTCTCTCTCTGGTGAATGTACACACCTCCTAGCAAATGTATTCTATTTCTTTTATTATTTTAGAGAGATTTTTGCTATAGGGTACATGCACTCACCAGAGACACAGAGACAGACTGAAAAAAAAGTGAGCACTCACCCCCCAGGGAGGACGGCCACCCCACAGTCCCTCCTCCATTCCTTGGATCCTGGACACATGTGCATACGTGCCCAGCATGATTTTCAAGCCACCAGGTCCAGGACTCGAGTGGTCAGCCATGTGGGAGCCCAGCAACATAATCACTGTGCCATCTGCTGGTCCCCAATGAAGACACTTTCAAACGTCTGTTTTTGTTTCTGTTTTTTTGCTTTTGTTTTGTTTTTTAAATGCTCTTTGCTAGGCTCGAGTTTTCATTCAACAATGGCTGCCTTGTCGTGTTTTCATTAAAAGGACATGATGTCCTTACGGGGCGAGGTGGGGAGAGGGCATCTACTTTTCAAGGTTTTTACCAACTGCTTAAAACCGACGGTCTGGTCACCTCCAAGGGTGTTAGCACAACGGTTTTAAGGAGAAAGGAAGGACCGTGAGGATGACAGGAAGGGGAACTGGGACGAGGCTTTGACTCTGCCTTAAAGACGGCCCATCTGTGTGGTTGGGAAAGCTCGCATGGCCATCGGCAATCTCATCGCCAAGTACGAAGATGCTGATCTACTAGGATAATCTCGGTTTTATGAAAATCACGGATAATCTCGGTTTTATGAAAATCACGCACACACGCCCACGGCCTCTTACATCACACGTGCCCTCTGGGCTCCTTGTCTGCCATGGTTTAACTGAAAATAAGCCAATCAGCGCCTTGTCCTCCAGAATCCTTTCACATGCACCAATCCTTTCCGGGCGGCTACCCCATCTGTGCATACACAAGTCCTTGCAGGGCGGCTACCCCATCAGTGGGTACACAAGTCCTTGCAGGGCGGCTACCCCATCAGTGGGTACACAAGTCCTTGCAGGGCGGCTACCCCATCAGTGGGTACACAAGTCGTTCCAGGGCGGCTACCCCATCAGTGGGTACACAAGTCCTTCCAGGGCGGCTACCCCACCAGTGGGTGCAGCTCCCTGTTTTCCCCGTGCAACATTGTTTTTACTGCGGGCGGTGTACCTCCGCCGTTGTGTCTTTCCATTAGTGGCACACACACACACAAGCAGCTTGTGTATTTCACGGTCGGAACAATCAGCAAACACCTTAAGCCGAGCGGCGTTAGGAACATCTGTACTCTGAGCTAACCGTGCAGCGAGCCTCCCACACTGGGTAATTTCCTCCGACGCTCCTCGGTGCTGTTTTCTCTACGTCTTCCTACAGTATTTGCTGACAAAAAAACGCCTTTCGACAGATCATTTACCATTCATTGTTTTTGCCATTTTTACTGCGGCAGGAAGAGTGAGTATTTGCCTGGTGGTAGGTGCTTTGTCGTCTTACGTTATTATGCAAGAAACTTTAGAAGCGCTTTCCAAATATTTACCACTGCTCCGGGGGATAGCGCAGAGCTCTGGGTGGAACACCCCAGAACTTTGAAGATCACTGGGGAGAAATGGTGGGGGATCGTCTGCGAGTTCTGAACTCAGTGTGTGAAAGCCTTGCCAACCATGGGAACTTTGGGCTGTCATTGACAAAAGTCCCCAAACCAAGGCCCCCCGGCAAGCTCTGCTAGGGCCGACAGGCTGGGGGTATCCAGAGAGCCCGGCTTTGTTCAAGTTCCCGTCTGGTACCCTCCTGCAGGGCTGCGAGGTGGCGTGGTGGACTCGATGTGCCCCCGAGGGCATTCTCAGCCTGGCCCCGGGTTGTGGCATTATTGGCAGTTTCTTTACAGGAATCTTAGGCAGCCACTTGACCATTTTGAAGGATTACTTTGGTTCAAACTAAATCATATAATCCATAAATCCACTTAGGCAGACACACAGCTCTAACACGCGGCAATGCACTGAAAGCCAGGAAAGGGAGGGGGACGAGGTCGGCCCTGGCCTGAGGCATCGCCATCTTCTCCCCAGGGCCCCAAGAACAGGTCAGGTGGGGAGATGGGTGTCTGCTGGAGGGTGGCAGCGCCGGCTGGGGGTCGCTGTGAATGTGGGGAGCGCTCATGCCTACCTTGGGTGCCCACCACCCAGGGCTGTGGCGGGGCACGTGGTTGAGATGACAGTGCACACGGAGAGCCCCACTCACTGCAGGCGCCCCAAGGCCTGACGTCTCTGACTCACCCCTGGGTCCAGATGGGTACAGACTCGGGTCCCACAGCTCTCGGTGACAAGGGGTGACTCGCTCCCTGTGGAGCTCAGACTCACGCAGGGCCCCTGAAAGGCATCACAGGTTCAGTCCCTACCAGACCCGGAGCCCCTGGAGCTCCTGCCCTGCACGCTCCGGGCCTGGCACAGGAAGCCCCCAGTGGGTAGAGGTGGGCACACTGCCGCTGGAGGACTGGATGGTGCCAGATGTGCCCCGACCTTGGTTCTGACTTGCCTCTGCGGCCCAGACATGGGCCTCCCCACCCGAGTGGCACCTGCATGGCAGGCTGCTGTCCTTAGAGGAAACCTGGCCTGAGGGAAGCCAGGGATTCCCACACGCCCTGTGACCCCGGCCGACCACAGGCCTCCTGACTCCACGTGGGCCCCACACACACCAGGCCACCATACTGGCAAGTGGCTGCAAGTTCCCCTTGATACGCCCTCGCCACTGGGATGCCAGTCTGCTGCTAGGCTTGGCGCCTTGCCTGGGGACCAGTCACAGATTCTGGGGCTGTCCCCCAAGGAGAAAAACAGCCACCCTGTCCCAGATGGTGAGACCATCATCTCTCCTAACAGGGAGGCGCCCAGGCTTTGGCGCCCAGTTCTGGGCCTGTCCTGGCCCTGTCCTTGCTGACCAGGTTTGCAGAGCCTCAGTTCTCAGCCAGCATGGGGCCACTGCCCCCTCCCCACCCAGGCGGCTCTCCACAGTCGGGAGGAGAAGTCCCCCAGAGGAGCCTCTTTCAGACCTCTCCGCACAGATCCCTGACAGCAGGCCCTGCAGCCGCTGTGTCCCACAGGAAGACAAGCGGATTTTTAAAGTTATTATTTATGCAGAGTAGAGACAAGGAGAGATGCGGCTTAACAGCCCCACGTGACGCGGCTCGGGGATTGGCGCTCCTGACGGCTAGTGAATCAGCCTCGAGTGGCTGCCAGAGCTCTGGGGCCGGGACAGCGGGTCAGGAAGCCTGGCTCCCGCTCCCTCTGACCCGAGGAGGGCGTGCTGAACACTGGTCTCCCACTGAACCGTGCTGGGCCCTGGCTGCTCTCGGCGCACCTCGGCCCCTGCCCAGGAGGGCAGAGAGAGGAGGCATCCACTGATCAAGGCTGTTTTCTTTCTTTTTCTTTTAATTTGCCAGAGAGCACATGCTCTCACCAGGAACAGAGATGGAGAGACAGAGAGAGGAAGAGGAAGATGGCACCCCCAGTGGAGCATGGCCACACTGCGATCCCTGTCCCTTTATTTCTCCATCTTGTGCAGATCTAGGAGGACACATGTGCCCTGGAGTACCTTTCAAGTTGCTGGGTCAGGGATTTGAACCTCCCAGTCAGCCATGTGGGATCCGGCTTCCTTAACCACCCCACCACTGGGTGGCTCAGAAGGGGCATGGTTTTACTTCTGCTGCATCAGGGCACCGGCTGTCAGATGGGGCAGCCTGAACCACATGAAGAGGATTCAGGGGGACAGGATGCACCAGACCCGGGGTGTGAATTCCTGTGTGTGGACTGCAGAAAAAGGCCAGGCCAGGACTGGGGCGCTCCGAGAGGTGGAGCCTTGGGAATGGGCACCCCCTCCTGGCAGCTTTCCAGGGCAGCAGGGCAGCTCTCCTCACACAAGGACAGGACGAAGTACAGGGCTGGGGATCACAATGCCTGGGTCTTAAGGAGCCACCTAGACCTGTGGTCCCCCGAATGCAATGACAGGTGAGCTTGGGCGCAAGCATGCCCTGGGGACGATGGCAGGGTCTCCCTTGTCTCACGTCTTCCATCAGCCGGCGAAGGAATCAAACTGCATGCGCAGTGTCTGTTTTCCTCCATAAAATACTCCACAAGACTTTGTTTTCTTGTTTGTTCGCTTTGGAGCTCATGTGCTCCCCGGAGACACCGAGACAGAGACAGAGAGAAAAAGTAAGAAAGTATCTCCCCACCCCAACCCCCAGGGCATGGCTATGCCACAATCCCTTTTCCTCCATTCTCCCCTTGAGATTTTGGGTGCTCATGCACATGGGTCCAGTGCATTTTTCAAGCCTCCGGGTCCAGGACAAGAACCGCTCAGTCAGCCATGTGGGATCCAGCTGTCTTAACCACCATGCCACCAGCTGGGCAGGACCCTCCTCTTGTGGATCAATTGCTGTATGGTGGTCTTGACCCAGGGGTGCAGGTGGGAGGTGAGGGCAGGGAGCCAGGGTTGGCTGCCTAAAGAGTCTCATCTTCTCAAGCAAGTCCCAGCCACCTGTAGGCTGGAGGAAGTGACAGGAGTGTCCTGAGAGGAGCGGGAGGAGGGAAACTGCTGATTTACACAAGGCAGACAGAGTGCTTTCTGCCTTCTAAAGGGTGGAAGACAGCGTAATTCATATCTGTAAGGATAAATCTCTCCTCTGCAGCCTGGCGGGTAAGGAGCTGCGGGAGGGGACAGGGGAAGCTCCACTCCCAAGTCCTGCAGCTGCGCTGCCCAGCCACGCCACAGGGTGGCCCCCGGGGGATGATCTGGAGGGGATTCAGAGACAGCGCTTGGCGACTAGGTGGGCCCAGAGCCACCAGGGGAGATAAAATTGTTCTTTTCAAAAAATGGAGGGGAAGTGAGTTTCTCAGGTCTGCTCGGGGGAAAGTGGAGAGCCCAGATGGGGCGGAAGGAGGCAGCAGATCTCAGCTGCTGGAGGGACATGCCTCTTCCGACCCACCAACACCTTCAGCAAAACTTGTGTGTGTTTGTTTTGCCAAAGGGCACGCGGGCTGGCCAGAGAGTGAGAGGGTGAGAAAGCACATGCACACGGGCACGCACGCGCACGCGCACTCGGGGCGTGATCACACCGCAACCCCTTCTCCTCCATTTCTCTTCCTGGGGCACACACACGTGCTCAGTGTGGTTTTCAAGCTTTTGGGTCTGGGATGGTGCAGTCGGCCATGTAAGATCCAGCCTCCTGAACCACCGCACCACTGGCTGGCCCCTCTTCTTCTTTTAAGTTTACTAATTTTTTTCTGGGACCAGCAGTTGGCGTAATGGCTATGTCGCTGGATTCCCACGTAATCGACCGCAGTTTGAGTCCTGGACCCGGTGGCTTAAACTCAGGCCAGGCGCGTGTGCGTGTGTACATGTGTGCCTAAGATCCCGAGAGGAGAATGAAGGAGAAGGGATTGCAGTGTGGCCATCCCCCCTGGGGGGTGATTTCTTGCTTTCTGTCTCTATGTCTCTCTCTGTCTGTCTGGCGAGTGCATGTCCCCTATAGCAAAAACCTCTCAAAAAAAAAAAAAAAATTTTACTAATTTTTTCTGTGAGCCAGAGAGACAGCATCCCCAGCAGGGTGTCTGCGCCGGTCTCCCCAAGCCCTCACCAGCACCCACCAGCCCTGGGTCACAGCCACATGGCCCCAGGTACTCAGAGACCCTCAGTGCCAACCAGAACCTCCTGCCCAGGACAGCTCCTGGCTCATAGTCTTTCACAGCCGCCGTCCAGCGCCTCCCCCTGGTCTGGTGTGGATGGTACCTGGGGAGGGAGGGAGGGCGGGAATCAGGGTGCTGCCCAGTGAGGGGCTAGGGCTGAGAAGGGGCAGCTCACCCAAGGGACCACCAGAAGAAACACAAGACCCTAGGAAGCCATCCCTGGAGGGATCTGCATATTGGGGACTCTGGGCTTCCAGCACATCGTGAAAGAAGTGGCCAGCGTCTGTGGGAAACGAGGTCCAGTCACATCTTTTTTTTTTTTTTTTTTGGAGAGATTTTCACTGTAGGGCGTGTGTGCTCGCCAGACAGACAGAGAGAGACAGAGAGACAGAAAGCGAGAAATCATCCCCCAGGGATCCCTTCTCCTCCATTCTCCTCTGGGGATCTTGGGCACGCACGCACACGAGCCCAGGGTGAGTTTTAAGCCACCGGGTCTGGGACACGAACCACGGTCAACTACGTGGGGAGTCCAGCGACACAGCCATTACACTAACTGCTGGTTCCCTCCAGTCGCATCTTAAAGGCCTCCATCAAACAGAGCCTGAAACCCCGGTAGCCCCACACCCAGCAAGGTACTGTCCCACAGGCACGCTCGGTTGACAGTAAACAGCTGGGATGCCTCCAGAAAGCATGGATATTATTTTTTGTTCTTATTTTATAATCTTCAACATTTTCTTAATTTTAGGGAACCAGCAGATGGCGTAATGGCTACACCACTGGACTCCCATGTAATCGACCACAGTTCGAGTCCCGGACCCGGTGGCTTAATCTCACACCGGGCGCGTGTGCGTGCGTGCCCAGGATCCCGAGAGGAGAATGGAGGAGAAGGGATTGCGGTGTGACCATCCCCCCTGGGGGATGATTTCTCGCTTTCTGTCTCTCTGTCTCTCTCTGTCTGTCTGGCGAGCACACACGCCCTACAGTGAAAATCTCTCCAAAAAAATTTTTTTTAATTGTATTTATTTTATGTTCACTCACTGTGTATCATTGCAGCATACAAAATGAAGCATGGATCTCATAATGTGACTCCCACCCTTGCTCCATCCTGGCATCCCTGAGTTTGTGATGTCCAGAATAATGTACAGGGGCCTGCCTCTCTCTCTCTCTGGCCAAGTTAAAAAATAGCAATGATGAATAAAATTAAAAACTTTTTAAAAATTAATTTTATTTATTCACTCATTTATTTTAATTTGATCAGAGAGAGATACAGAGAGAGAGAGAGGGAAAGTGATAAAGCAAGCCACCAGATCCGGTACTCGAACCACGGTCGGCCATGTGGGAGTGTCCAGCACCTTAACTACCACGCCACCTGCTAGTCCCAAAAAACTTTAAAAAAAAAAAAAAAAAAAAACAGCCAATTAGTTTCCTGCATTTTTTTTTTTTTTTTAAGAATTATCCATGGGTTGGGAACTAGCAGTTAGCGTAATGGCTATGTCGCTGGACTCCCACGTAGTTGACCGCGGTTCGTGTCCCGGACCCAGTGGCTTAAAACTCACGCCGGGAGCATGTGCGTGCGTGCCCAAGATCCCGAGAGGAGAATGGAAGAGAAGGGATTGCAGCGTGACCATCCCCCCTGGGGGGTGATTTCTTGCTTTCTGTCTCTATGTCTCTCTCTGTCTGTCTGGCGAGCGCACGCGCCCTACAGTGAAAATCTCTCAAAAAAAAAAAAAGAATTATCCATGGGGCCAGCAGGTGCTAGGGTGGTTAAAGGTACTAGACTCCCACATAGGCACAATCCTTTTCCGTTTCTCCAAATCGTCAGGATTTGGGGTATACACACACATGTGCCAGTGTGTTTCAAGCTGCCAGGGCTAGTATTCAGACTGCAACTGGCCATGTGGGATCTGCTCCTTTAACCACAAGGCTAAGGGCCAACCACATGCAGACTGTTGGCAAACAACTCCGGAGCTCCCCCTTCTCCCCTTCTGTTACATACACCAGGAAATGAGCACGTGTCCGGGGAACCAGAGTTTGCTCATCCTGGCGGTTCATCCTAAGCCCTGACAAAGAGACCACTTTGATCTCAGTCATTAGGCCTCTGCCTTCCTTTCAGGTTGACAGTACTTGGAATGGGGCCTAGGCCATTCAGAAATGTTGCATCCAGGGCACTTCAGTAGCCAGGGCCGTTGGGGCCCCCAGGGCACTGGGCATCTGGGTCCGCGTAGAAGCAATCACAGGGTGGTAGAGACTCCACTCTGGGCTCCACTGAACTGGTGAGAACAGCTTGGGCCCCTTCCTGGTTACCCCAGAAACCTAAGGATGGCCAGCTGGAGCTGGCCTAGACCCCACCCTCACCAATATCTTCTCTTCAGCCTTTGGAAGGCAGCGCGGGCACAAGCCCTTCTCTCCAGGGGCTTCAAATCCTTCCCAAATCTGTGCAGAGATGCCCCTGGGGCTGAGGGGTGCCCCTGGCATCCTTGGCTCCGAGGACTGGATCAGGCTCACGAGGACAGATCCCATGTCTGCCAGCCAGGAGCACGAGGGGCTCCCTGCATCGCCCCATCAGCACAGGTGGCCGCGAGCCGGCGCTGGACACACCCCTCACCCCTCGCCTGCTAATGAGCTCCTGGGGCCCAGAAAGGGTGAGTCTCTCAACCAAGGTCACCCAGCAGTAAACCCTGGCCCAGTCTGCACAAGCTGAGGATGGCAGAACCGGGGCCTGATACGGAGGCCCAGCCACCCTCTGAGGACACCAAAGCCGGGGAACAGTGAGACCCACTGCACACAGGTGGGCCCCTGGGAGTCCCGCGCAGTTGTAAAGCAGCCCTGGGTCCCGTCATCCCCACCATTACATGGTTAGCTGCAGATTGCTTCCCGTCACCCCAGTGAGCTGTGCCCAGAGGACGCTGGTCGCAGAGCCTGCCTCAGGAATCGAGCCAGCCTCCCACAGCCGTTCCTCCGCAGCTCAGAGGATCACCTCCAGGAAGGCCTGCACAGCCCCGCGATGCCCCCTCACTGAACACGGGGACACTGAGGCCAGGCAGGCTCCTAGCAAGGCTCAGGGGAAGCTGAGGCCAAGTGGGGCCTGGGCACCCAGGCTGGAGGGGACCGAGCAGCCTACCTCGGGCAGGGTAACCCGGCTGTTGAGGCTGTCCCTGCCGTCTGCACCTCGCTGGGCTGCACTCAGGATGCTCCTAGGCCTGCCAGGAAAAGCAGCTTGGGAGCCAGCAGGTGTGACAATGGGTATGAAGATACCAGGCCCGAGCCAGCCTCAAGGCCTAGAACTTCTGTCCCTTCTCAGCCTTCCCTGCTGATCACCCCTGGCATCCTCACCAAGGCAGACGGAGGCAAGAGGCCCAGCCCTGGTAGTGTCTGGGGCTCCCTGCATGTCCTGTGGGTTCTGCCAGAGGCTTACCTCACAGGCCCCTGACCAGGCCTCCCCTAAGCCAGCAGGGAGGCAGGAGGGACTGGCTTTGGTGGAGCTGGGACACTCTGGGTGCTCTGGGTGAGGGCAAGTGAAGGCGAGACAGCTGTGCCTTGAGACCCTCGCACCAGCCGGGGTCCCTGGCCAGAGGGATGGTGGGCCGTGGAGGGTCCCAGCCACTAGGCCCCACCAAGTTGGGAGGCAGGTAAGGCAGGGAGAGGCCTGACTTTCTAAAAAACATAATAAAAATAAAAATAGATGTCACCTGAGGCTGGGGGCAGAGTCAGACTTCTCTGAGCACAGAGGCAGGGGCAGGGCTGGCCAGGCGTACCACTGCTGTGGGGCAGAGGGAGGCTTAGTTGGTGGGAAAAAAAGATGAGGCAGGACCGGGGCCAGCCAGAGGAGCCGGAAGGGCACATGAAGGTCCTCTTCGGTGCCCCCTAGTGCAGTGGTTAGTGCACTGGTTAAGCCCTGTACCTAGGAAGTTGGATTCCACAAGGCTGACTAGTTCGAATGTAGCCCCGGCGGCTTGACAAACATGGTATGCGTGTCTGCACAGAAACCCAACGGGATGGAGAAAGAAGGGGCTGAGGCATGACCACACCCCGCAGGGGCGCTTTCTCCTCACCCCCAGTGACACACATGCCTCTGGTGATGGAAAAAAAGAAGTCCTCTCTAGGGCCCCAGTTGTCCCCTGCAGAAGAGTCCCTCTGGCCCACCTGCTTTGGGCGCCCTTGAAGAGGCCGAGGTGACAGTAGAGCAGCTTTATTGATCAGACTTAGCAGCAAGACACAGCGGAGGTGGGGTCTGTACAATCCAGCTGGCCCGGGACGGCAGGCCCCAATGTCTCCCTCCAGAGGCCCAAGCCCACCCTCGCTCCAGGCCCCTCCTGAGGCAAGCGGCAGAGGGCCTAGTTCTGGAGGGGTTAGGGCATGCCTGCCGGCAGCTGGCAGGAGGCGATGCGTGCAGGGTGGAGGGGGCAGGCAGGCAGCGGCCAGGCTCACCACACGGAGCACTTGTGGGCAGGGTTCATGGGCGAGTCCTTGGGACAGTGGAAGGCCCGGCCGAACTCCTCGAACTGGGACACGCTGCCCAGCACCCTGGGGTGGGGAGTGGACCGGGCACTGAGGGTCCCGGCCGGCACCCCCACCTCAGCCAGCAGTTGCCCCCACCCCAGCACAGGCGGGCGAGGTCCAGGGAGGCGGCCGCACACCTGTAGTGCTCAGGTGCGTGCTTGTCGGTCAGCACCTGCAGGTAGATGGACTGCGACCGCCGCTTGATGCACCAGTTCTGGGCCCGGAAGGAGAGGCGGGAAGAGGGGCATGAGGGCGGCTGGGGGGCCACTGCCCCCCCCACCGCCACGCCAGGCTCCAGACCATCAGAACCCCAGGGCATCACCTCTGCGGGGCCGGGGAACGGGAGGCGGGGCTGGCCCTGCCAGGCCTGGGAAAGGCAGGCTGGACCTGAGCCTGGCTGCCATGCCCACCCTGACCCCCGCCCGGCCCACCTGGGCAAAAGCAATGAAGAAGAGCTGGTTGTGCGTGTACTTGAGCCGCTGCAGCGGGTGCTCTGGGCCGTGCTCCCGCACCCACTTCTGGTAGGCCTGGGGGCAGAGAGCATGCCCCTGCTGTACACTCCTGCCTGGGTGCCGCCTCTCCACCCTGTCCTCCCCACAGTGCCCCCTCCCCGTGCAGCGCCTCAACAGCCCTGGCCCTCCCCCACTGTGCTCCGGGCAGGCTGAGCCCAGGCAAATGCCACTGCCTCCAGGCAGTCCTCCCTGCTCCCTGGGGAAAGGTGGGGACTGGCCACTCCTGGCAATGCTCAGCTGAATGGGCAGGGAAGGTGACTCGCCTGCAGCCTGGCATCCTCACCACCTGCCCCAGCAGGGATGGAGAGCCAGCGGGGCACTCACGTAGTAGGCGAGCTTCAGGCCACCCATGTCGGCGATGTTCTCACCAAGCGTGTGCTTCCCGTTCACCTGCCGGGGTGGGAAGAGACCAGGGCTGCTTGGGGGTCTCAGGCAGGCCTCCCCAGTGCTGCAACCCTGAACTCCTGCCTGCCCACCCACCCTTTCCCTTTCCCGGAGGGTCTGGTGGGGCTCCAAGCCCTGCTTCCTCCCATACGGCCCGAGCAGAGCTCCTCAGTCCCTGTGGGAGTGTGCCCTGGACCCGAGCGTGTGTGCACACTCCCAGTCTGTGTGAGCCTGGCCTGAGGGCGTGCGCAGGGGCCCACCCGCTGGCTGTAGACAGTGAAGTTGTCGTAGAGGCGGACGATGCACTCCGCCTTGCGCAGGAAGCGGCTGTAGGAGGCCTCGGTCCACCAGTGCAGCAGGTTCCCCGTGCGGTCGTACTGGCCCCCTGTGAGCAGCAAGCAGGTGGGCAGCTGGAGACCAGCCTCGCCCTCAGCCCGGCTGGACGCCAAGTCCCCTCCACCTAGGCCACCTGCTGGGCACCCACAGGCCTCACCCCAGTCGTCGTAGCCATGGGTCAGCTCGTGCCCGATGATGGTGCCGATGCCCCCGTAGTTCAGAGACCTGGGCCGGCAGCAGCGTCAGACCCCGGCACTCGCCTGCTCCCTGCAGGCCCCAGGCCGCTGCCCAGGCCTGGGAGGAACCTCCTGGGAGGCCAGGCAGGCATCGGCGTGGTCCCCCAGTTTCCTTGTGGGCCATGGGCAAAGGCCAGTGACACCTGCCCAACTGCCTTTTAGGAAAGAGATCTAACAGGTCTGCCCTGGGGTGAGGCAGTGGGTTAGAGGGAGACACGAGAGAGACCAAGGCCCCCACGGGGGTTGGCTCCCTCTGTGTCACAAGGTGGCTCCACTTTAGGAACACCTCAACGAGTGTCAGTCAAGGACTGGGGCTCAGAAAGGGGGGAACCGACATGTTTTCTTTCTGTTTTAATTTGCTATAGGGCACACATGCAGGAAGCGGAGATGAGAAATCACGCCCCCCAGGGGATGGGCACATGCAGTCCCCTCTCCTTCATTCTCCTCTAGGGCTTTTGGGCACATAGGGACAAGTGCCCAGCTTATAATCAAGTCACCAGGCCCGGGACTCGAACCTCATACTTGGTGGTGTGGGATCTAGCCACTGTAAATACCACACCACTCCACTGTCCCAGCCCGCCCCTTCCCCAACTAAACAATCTGACATGAAGTGGGACCATGGGACCTAGGTCTGCAGCTGCCATGGATCCTGGACCCAGCCCATTCCTGGGGAATCCGAGTGCTGCCACCCCCATGACCACAGGGAAGGCCTGTTCACTGGCCGAGCCCCCACCGCCTGGCCAGACGCCATACTTACTGCGGGAAATCTGGGTCATAGAGCGTGGGCTGCAGGATGCCAGCTGGGAACACTAGGGGAGGGCGTGGTCAGCCGGAGCCCCGCCCACTCTCCGCCCTCTCTCCCTCCCAGGAGCATGCCCCTTACCCATCTGGTTCTTGTTGGGTAGGTAGTAGGCATTGAGTGCCTGTGGGGGCAGCAGCCACCTGTGGGGGTGGCTGGTGTCAGCTGGGGGCACTCTCTCCCCTCACCCTCCCCTCCAGCCTTCTCAAAGGTTGCCCTGGTGGTCTAGGCACAGCCACTGCCTGAGGGTGCATCCTTAGGCCTACCCAGGATGGGGCCCCAACCCACACCCTGCCCTGGTTCCCAGCCAAGCTCCAGCTCCCTGCCAGCAGCCTGGCTTTGAGAAAGTCTGTCCCACCACCCCTGGCCTCTCTGAGGAGCCCCCAACCCTCCGGCTCTGGCCAGACACCCACGTGGACTTGTCCACCTCCTGCCGAATCTTCTTGACTGACAGCTGGATGCTGAAGCGGATGCTGTTCAAGATGTTCTTGAAGTAGGTCTTCTCGTGGACCTCGAACTGCATGGAGACAGCAGCGCTACGCCCAGGCACGGCTACAGGCCCGGGCCCTCCCAGACCCATCACTGAGGGCTGGCCAGGGTCCAGGGCAGCCTAGCCATTCAGGCAGGGGCAGGGCGGGGCAGGGCAGGGCAGCAGGGCCCACCTCGTACTCTTTGTCCACGGCCTCGGGTTTGAGCAGGAAGTCCGGGTAGCCGACCATCACCATCATGTACTGCAGCTGAGAGCGGGTGAGTGAGGCCAGAGATCCGGGCCGGCCCCACCCCTTCCTGAGGGAGGAGGCTCGAGGCCCACCTAGGTGTGGTGTGGCAGGCCTAGGTGTGGCTGATGTCACCCCACAAAGGCTCCTCTGACTCTCATTCTCCCCAGTGCCTACACACAGTGGGTGCTCAGCACATGTCCGTGGACATGAGCTGGAGGAGGGCGGCGGGGCCG